CGACAGCATGTCAACACTGGGGCACATCCTAGAACTGCACAGCTTGCAGTTCAACCATCCAATAACGAAGCACCTCCATAGTATAAACCTGGTGCCCTGTGCTCAGGGGGATGCAATAGGTCTGGGTGGGGCCCAAGAATTTGCGTTTCTAGCAAATTTACAGGTGCTGCTGATGCTGTCGGTCTGGAGACCACACTTTGGGAACCACTGCTGTAGGATTTTGTTTAAATGTCACTCCCCCTGGAGGCTCACGTGTGTGTGTGCGTGTNTGTAGGATTTTGTTTAAATGTCACTCCCCCTGGAGGCTCACGTGTGTGTGCGTGCACACACACATACACACACTCCCTGCCTTGGGAAGATGCTCCTGCCACAGGTGCTCAGGCAATCTGCATGGCCCCTCCTGGGCCCTTGCTTGTGGTGATCTGGCCCCTCCTGCCTTCCCCCCACCTCACCTCCAGTCACTTTCATCCTTGCCCTTCACCGTCCTCTCACCCAGGCCTGCTTTCCTTCCCCAGAACAGGCCAAGCCACAGACCTTGCCCTTTCCTGCCCCAGGGCCTTGGTACTTGCTGCATCGTAACACAGACAGGCCTTCCATAAACACATGGTTTAAAGAAGGTCCCCCCAGCTCTTCCCCTTCACATGCCCTTTAATTCATATCACAGGTCTGGTTGAAATCAGGTCTGATGTCCCTTGAGAATGTCAACTCCACGAGGGCAGAGAGGAGTGACCGTTCTGCTCCCCACTGTGGACCTCGTGCCCATCACTGGCACAGACCAGGCCATCATTGGAGACATGAATGAGTGGGATTCATTTCTGCTCTCGGTGAAATTCACATCACAAGAGGAGGTACACCAGCCAACCTTGTCCTATGACCTCTTCTTTCTGCAAACCTCCCTTCCATCGGGCTGGCCAGCAGCCATCTAGCACTTTGTTTCAAGCAAGGGGTGGGGTGGGGATGGAGGGAGGCAGGGGAGTTTTTGGAACAGCCAACATTGCAGATTACACACCTCTAATCAAATCCAGAGCGCCGCACTGTGTTCTGCCAATTGAGACGCCCAGATTATGCAGGCCAAAGGGCCCCGGGGGCAAGAGGCCATGTGAAATAACTTTTCAAAAATAGCAACTTGCAATCTCAGGAATGAGCATGAATTGTCAATGACATGAGCAGTGTTTGGAAACAGGGGTCCTATTTTTATTGCAGATAATGTTTATGCGACATAGCACAGGTTGGGCCAATTTTCCCCAAGGAGATGCTTGTGGATGACGGTGCAGTGATGCCCGTAGAAACCGTGTTGGAAGGACCAAAACCGAAGAGATCCCTGGTGGTGTGGTGGGAACAGGGTTGCCCTGGCTCCTAGCCCGGCTCTGCCGCTCACTGATCACTAGAGCGGAGCAGCTAAGAGTCTAACTTTCAGAAGCAGTGGGACCTGGGTTCCAACCTTGGGCTCGGCACTTGCTGTGTGACCTCGGACAGTTACTTAACTTCACTGAGCCTGTCTCTTTCTCAGGAAAAGGAGAGAAAACAGTCATTTATCTCTTAGAGTTGTGATGGCGAGTAAATGAGATAATGTCTATAAAGCCAGGCTCCCAGTGCCAGGCACAGGGAAAGTGCTCAATAAATGAGAGCCATTGTTAGCTATAACACTTAGAAATTTTAAAAAATTCTCTGAATTGTGGTAAAAACACACCTACTTTTGCCCCACCCTGCGTAACAGAGAGAAAAAAAAAAGAGACCAGAAACTAGCCAAATGTGCAGGGATAAGAGGATGCTTTTAGAAACTGTGCCATGTTCCCACGATAGAAAACCCTTCAGCGGTAAAAACAAACTGAAAAATGCTGCTGAAAGTCACAACATAAAACCTAGTGAGAGAAGCAAGTCAAAATAATATATTCAGTAGATGTGCAGAGCAGGGGGTAACAAACACAAAATCTAGGAAAGGGGAACTAACTGGGCAGAAGGAACTTGGGAGCACTGATTATGTGCTAGAACTTAAATGAATGGAAGTTCAGGGGCTTTCATGTTATTGTAACACTTCATAATCTAAAGATGTATTACATATATTCTTTCAAATGAGAATATTTGTACTCTTTTCAATACAAAAAGATCAAAAGGCGTTTTAAACAGCTTGGGCCCCTTCAGCTCTAACCTATTGCGTAGCAGCTAGCAGCTTAGGGAGCTCTGATAAGAAACTCTCTGCTGTCATCTGCTTATTTAGGAAGAATTTGGAAGGAACATGCAGCAAGTCACTGCCTTTGAGGCCTCCAAAAGCAAATTCTGGGCACAGGACCCAGAGGGGAGGCTGGAGGTTGCTGAGACGAGGCACAAAGACTGATCCCCCGGACAGAAGGGAACTTGATGGGTGGACTGTGGCTGACCCAGCTCCCAGGACTGGGAGAACCGACGGGCCTGTGCCTTCCTGCACTTTGGCCTGAGTCAGAGAGGGAATGAGCGGGCCCACAGGCAGACTTTGGCCATCCAGGACACTTCTAGAAGGAAACAGAAGTGGTGTCACTAAGTAAAGGGGGTCACACTGTCAAGCAATCATCCCAAAATCAGTTCTCTTGCTTCGGCTCCCAGAGTTAATGTCCATCTCTGGGTCCTGAACACATAGCCTCTTTCCTGAGCGATTCGTTTGGTGACATGAGTCCCACAAGGGATCTTGGCACATCGCGAGATGACATCCAGGAGGTGGGTATGCTTGAGCTGTGATTAAGCAAGGTGACATGTTCATCTCCATTTCACTCAGCTAAACACTGTTCTGTCAACAGATATAAACACAATAACCCGAGGCACATTTTTTCCCTATGACTTCGTTTTATTGGCAGTGGCAGAAAAGCCTTTTAAAATCACAACTGTCTACAGGAATAACAGTCTTCCAAAACAGAGTGAGGCTTTCCATTTTTATCGATCTTTTTCAAAAATGCCTTAAAAATTGGAAACTCGGTTTTCACTGCTGGCCATTGGTGAACAAGACGCGTCACATTCTGTGGTGCATTCCTCCTAAGAATCTTTGAAATGATCTAGAAATTCTGCCAGTAGCATCCTCTGAACTGGTGCTCAAGGCCTGAGCCGACTCCAAACCTGAGAAAACACTGCCTGAACTGCTCAGTTATTTGAAAAGCAGCACGTTCCTTAGTATCGCTCCGGAATCTTGGAGAGAGCAGTGAGTGCGTGAGCATGCAATGCTAAATTAGAAAATGACAGTGTCTTTTGAGAAGTTTCTAAAATGTTTTGCTCCTGAACCTAAGAGATAGCCAAGCGCCAAGTCCTCTTGTTCCCATTAAGATAAGGCCACTCTCTGGGAACAACTGAGGTTATCTGTCCCCTCCCATGACTCGGGCAGTGCTGGCTCTCACACTGGTTTCTGTCTCTTCTGTCCCGAGTCTTTCTGCGGGCATTAAAATGCATTCTCGCCACACTTCCTTTGATCAGTGACACCCTGCTTCTCTCACCTGCCTCCTTTGCTGTGCTCCCCGGGCCAGGCATTTGCTTTTTGCACACAAAGTCGCTGTCCGCAGGGAAGAATTTTAGTTGCAAAAAGGGAGCCATGCAAATCACAGGGGAGTCAAATAAACTCTTTTCAAGGGCAATACCGGAGCAGAAAATACTGTGATGATCTAAAACTCTGGGCTTGTTCTGTTTTGTTTTAATTGGCCAGAGGTGGGCAAGGGTTCTCTGGTTTTGTGTGTTCTCTTTGGGGCTTCGGCTTCTTGGGAAATGTTAGCAGTTCCCAGGCACTATTTTCGGAGCTGTGCTGACACTTGTTAATAACGTTGGCGTAGAAAGCCATGCTCATTTAGACACAAAGAGAATTTGCTGGCATGTGCCAGATGGGAAACGGGGGAAAATCAAGGGACTGCTATCAGAGAGAGAGAGAGAGAGAGACAGAGAGAGAGACAGAAAGACAGAGAATGCGAAAAGTTTTAAGGCAAATCAGAGGCCCTTTTCCACCAGATACAAGTACGGGGTGGGTGGGGGGTTCATTTTCAGGTGAAAAACAAGTACTCCTTCCCTCCTTGAGCTTACCAGCAGCTTGCTTCTGGGAAGGCCTAAGAGGCCCCTAGTCCGCCCCAGTCACCCACCCCCGTGCAAGGAAGCCTCCGCCAAGCTTAACTTCTGAAATTAATGTGGGAGAAGAGTCTGATGCTCCGTTTTGCTTTGAGAAATGACTGCCCCTTAAATACAGCCTAGGAATGGATTCTGAAACAGGGAAAGGACATTAGGGCGAAATCTGGTGAAATCTGAATAAAGCCTGTGGCTTAGTGAAGTGTCTGATGCACGCACCAGAGTGGAAGATGTTAGGGAAAGCTGGGGGGAGAGGTAAAGAGGCACTTTTCAGTAAACAGTGCTGTTTTTTTCTGAGATAGGAGGGTTTTGAGCAGAGAATGAACAAGATCTGATTTATTTTTGGACAAGACCACTCTGGCTGCTGTGCTAAGATGTCTGAGGGCTGGGTGGAGGGTGAATGCGGCGAGGCAGGTGGGGAGTAACCGCAACCATCCAGGACAGGAGTGGGGGTGGGAAAGAGGTGGTCAGGTCCTGCAAATGATTTGAAGGCAGACCTAAAAGATAAGGAGAGTGAGGGAAGGAGGGCCAACGAGGACAGGTAGCTCAGTGGGTTGGAGCATCTTCCTGATACGCCAAGGTTGCAGGCTCGATCCCCAGTCAGGGCACATACAAGAGTCAACTAATGAATGATTAAATAAGTGGAACTTGCTGTTTCTGTCTCTCTCTCCAATCAATCAATCAATCAATCAATCAATCAATCAAATTCTGTGGTCCTCATGGAAGTCCCACCTTTGTAGGACATGGCATGTTTCTACAGAGACTGTCACTCCTATTTATGAATGTCATGCAAACAAAGGAGCAGTTGCTAAAACGTGGATTTCTTTGGGCATTATTATAAACGATCACTGATCAAAGACAAAACTCTCCAATGGACGTCCCTGATCATCTGCAGTACTCAAGTTACAAAAATGGTACTTGCACAGAATGTATTCGAGTGCAAAGCAAGTCATTTATTTAGCACCAAAATCAAATGATGACCACATCAATTCCATATTAAAACAGGCATTTTAAAGGCATTTCTGACATTTTAAGTTGGCATCAAGACATCTGCATAGTCTGAGTATCCAAATCCCTCCAGTTTCCGGTTACAAAGGCAATTTTCCCAGGGGTGTGATGACTGTCCTGCAAACAGTCCGGTGGCCCCAGGAAGGCTGTCCCCTACTCGGCTGGAGGTTTCCTCCTGGATCTTCAGGGAGAGTTTTGTGTCTGCTTAAACAGATTCTCAGTAATTGGTCAGGGAGCCTCTATGTAAAAATGTGCAAAATGGACCGAAGGAAAAAAACCCCAATATAACCAAGGCCCCCTGCCCACTTATATTTGCCACGTTAACTAAGCTTCTCCAATAGGGATCTTCATAACAGGCAACCCTAAAGACCTGATTTCATGGAATAAGAGCTGGTTGACACCCTTTAATAACTACTTTGCAATTCGACTGCCTGACAGCTTTTCTGGAGAGGGAATAGAATAACTGAGGGTGCTGTCAAGATCTCAGGGACAAAACCCAGCTCAGCTGAACCATCTGCCCTCTAGGTCGGTTGCAGAATTCCGTGAATTCCTAATTACAGAGGAATTCTCCTCGTCAGTCAAAGCCGTGCCATTCACCTGCCTTTTTCTTCCTTATTTGTGACTGATTTTGGAAATTGGGGTAACTTCCCACAGGCAGGTGGAGGGAGATATATACAAGACCAGCATCGTGGAGGTGCTGTCCTTTGTGTGACCAGGAAGATGAGGCAATTCAGTTCAGGAGAATATTCCGTGAACAGACTAAGATGGCCCAATCTGTCCTTCGGAGCTACGAAAGTGGACATCTAAGTCCGTCCAAATCCCTGGCACAAGGAATTCCAGTTCCGACTCTATTGCAATGTATGTACTACGATCTTCACTTATAAAGGACTTGGATGTCTTCTCAGTTGTGGCTTCTTGGGTGAAGTAGACCTGGGCTGTGGGTCAGCAGGGGGAGATAGTCCTGGAAGATTTATAGGGCTGGGGACATTCTCCAGCATGTCCTTTCCCAACCAGATGACACCACTCCTGTGACAGCTGCAGGGAATAAGCCATGAGAAGAGAGGTATGACTGTGGCCCTTGATAGGGTCAACCAGGCTCTTGTCAAGGACACACAGGGATAAGTCTACGAGGAGCAATCCTGTATTCTTCTGGCCTTCAGCTTTCCATGTCCGTGAATGTTCTCTTCTTGTAGTTCTGAACGAGGCTAGAAGCAGTGATCTGAGAAGCCTGCCCCTTCTCCCAACACTGGAAGTCATTCAGTCCTTTCTGCCCTGTTTGGAATAAGCCCCTCTCCATCTCATCCAGCCTGGCTACCAGTGCCGAAGTGTCTTCGTTGTAAGCATTCTGGGAGGAGTCCATAATGCGGCGAAAACGTCCAATAAATGTCTGAAGGAGAAGGGAATAAGAGAAATCAAAGCCACTTTTATCCCCGAACATTTAAATAGCACAAAAAGGAAGAATTTGGTCTCAGGACTCAGTCAGAAGGAGATCTGAGTAAGTTATTTCCCATTGCCAAGCCTCGATTTCCTTGCCTGTGAAATGGGTTGTTGTGGAAATCCAATGAAGTAACACGTGTAGAGCACCTAGGAAATAGCTGGCAAGAGTAAGCTCCTTGAAAAGCATTCCTCATTATTGTTACTGCAACAAAGGCCATGATAATGTACTGTGGTCACATGCAGACAGGTTTCAACCAGAAAAGATCCCCGATTTAACTGAATGTAGTTTTCAGTCTGAGAGTAGGATGATCTAGAGGGTGTCAGTTCAGGGCTCTGAGCCCAAGCCACAAGCCCACTTCAGTTCTGCATTCGCCTCACGGCCATCTTACCTTATATGTGAGCAACTCCAGTCTACAGCATAACCGTCTCTTTTCTTTTTCTTTCTTAACTATCACATTAAACACAGCACTAGAAAATGTTAGGCCAAACCACCTTCAAGCCTGATGGAGGATGTCAGCACAGTGCGGGGAGCAAATGTGTTTTGAGCTAACAGTTCTTATAAAGCTAGAAATCAGGCCGTAAAACAAGAGGTAGAAAGGATAGTTTCTTCTAGTTTTAACAGAATAAAAAAATAATTACAAAAGTTAAAGTATGGTTATACAACATAAAGGTTATTATTGTCCATGGGCAATAGTAATAGTTACCATTTGTTAAATGGCACTACATAAACTCACTATGACTCCATAATTTTGGCAATATTATTATCTCTTTTTATGGGTGAAGAACTGATGCCTAGAAAGGTCAAGTAGCTTGACCAAGTCACATAGCTAGTCCATAGCAGAGCCAGATCTTAACCCCAGAGCAATGGAAGGGAACAAATAACCAAATACCGCATGTATTTACTACAGGAACCCTCAGAACAGTCCTGGGGCTGGGCTGTGACTACGTACTTGAGTGCCTGGCACCTGTCATCAACTATCACCCCTTTCTTATTTCCAGGACTTTCTACTGGTCCCAACTCTTAGCAAGCAAATATGAAGAGCAGTAGACAAGTCCTATTTAAGTATATATATAATTGGCAAATATAGTCTAACTGTAGGCTGACGTGGAATAATAATACACTAAGTGCAGATATTCTAAACTTCCCTGGGTAAGAGTGACGTCCGGGGGCAGCCACAGCCGGCTCCTGACACATGTGCTGTGCCACAGGTTCTCCCATCTATTACTTGCCTGTAGGAGAGACTGGGAAATGTCTGTATTCTCTGGGCTGTCAAAATGCAGGAGCTGGGAGCCAAACCCGTAGAAATGGGGCCCCATTTTGTGGAGGTCCACCACATTGGCATCTGCACTGAACACAGTCCTCCAGCCCTCTTGGTAGATCTTGGGAAGTTCCACAGAGAGAATCCGCCGCTTGTTGTCAAAAAGTCCTTTGGCCAACCACAGGGGGAGTTCCAGCTTTGAGCCCTGCGTCAGACAAGAATGTAGATCTGAAGAACAGTGACCAAGTCAATGTGTGCGTGGCAAAAAGGAAATACACACCGCATGAGCAAGACTCCCTGTTCTCTCTGGGACACAGCTGTATATGAAGACTTACAGCCCTAGGTTTGAATCTCTTTTACAACGCAACAGGCCTGTCTGTGACTTGAAGAAATGAATTGTGTGAGCTGAAGTTTTATGTTAGGGTGGAATGGAAAGAAAAAATTGGGTGTGGTGGTGGTGGGGGGAGAACTCTGCTTAATTTATACAGTTGCAAAAACGAAATCAGTGTTGGAGGGAGCCTGACGACCTGGGATAAATTTAGTCTCCCTAAGGGCGACCACTGCAAGTGCGGATACACTAGGGGAGGGTACGAACCCCGCCTCCCCCTAAAACTACAAATCCCAGAGGACAGCGCGCCCGGCGACGCAGCGCCCCAGGGCCGCAAGGCCCGCCGGGAGCTGTAGTCTTTCGGCAAAGTGCCGAGCCAGAGGGCTTACCTGAGGGACCGTGTTGTCCGTGTCGGCTCCTCCGCTCCGCTCCGGGAAGAAAGCGCCGAGGCGTGGAATGGGGATTTCTGTGCGCACCGGGAGCTTCTCGTGGGACATCAGGATGTCGTCCAAGGAAAGAAAGTTCTCCTCGTGGCCCAGCGCACCGGACTCCACCCGGAAATAAGCCTCGGACATGGCGGCGGCTCCAGCGGCTTGGCTTCCA